AGACGGGGTTTCACCATGTTGACCAGGATGGTCTCGATCTCTTGACCTCGTGATCCACCCGCCTCGGCCTCCCAAAGTGCTGGGATTACAGGCGTGAGCCACCGCGCCCGGCTTCCACCCTGGCTTTAAACCCCACGGTTTGCAGTTCGGCTCCAAAGGCCTCCCAATGACCCCAATCTCATTCCTCTGGACTCAACCATGATGGCCGAAGGCAGAAGATAAGCTGGACTCTTGGAAGCCGACACCCCCAGGGAAATTCCATCACCCGCCCAGAGCACTGTAGACTCAGCTGGGGTAAGGGTGGGATGGGGGAAGGAGGGTGGGGCTGGGGCGATAAGAGCCTTCTGGGGTGGAGGAGGCTGTCAGTGAGGCCAAGGCCCACGCCTGGGGTAGGCGCCGGGTGAGGGGGTGGGATCGGAGGGGAAGGTCATCCGAAGCCCTGGCCCTGGCCCTGTCTAATGGGTCTAATGGGATATCCTGGTGGAAAGCAAGTGGGGATCTAATTAGGGTAAAATCCAGGGCTAATGAGCTGTGGCAACAACGGGACAAAGGAACGATTCCCACAAGCCCAGGATGTGGCTCCATTCTGCCTCCTTCCCGGCTTCCTCCCCCAGGTCTTCGGCTTCCTTCCTTCCCTCCCTGGCCTCACACCTGCCATGTGTCCGCTGTGTCCCAGTGTCCACAGCTCCCCCTCAGCTCCAGCTCCGCTTGTCTTCCCATCCCATTCATCCCCTTTCCCTCTCCTCTGCCCCTGGTTCTTCAGCCCACGTGTCCCTGGCATCACCCTGCGGTTCTCTGCCTGCCTCATTTCTTTGTTCTCTCCCTCCAGGAGTGGGAAGAGCTGGGCTCTGGGCTCCCAGGGTAGGCTGGGTGGCAAAGGGTGAGCCCGGGATGGTTGCCTAGGCAATGAGGAAAGTAGGGCAAACACCAAGCAGCAGTCAGGAGGAAAGAGGCGCCCACGGGGGAAGGGACTGCGTCCCAGCCCGGAGGCCTCATTGCTAACCCCCAACCCCACTGTCCCCAGCCTGGCTCATGCCCAGGAGCTGGTCCCGAAGGAAGCTGGGGTGTCTCTGCAGGAGCTCCTGCCAGACTCCCTCACAGCCACATCTGCACCAGGTCCTTGGGCCAAAGCGATTCCGGGGTGCCTTTGTCCTCAATGCGTGGCCCAGGGTGTATCCTTCTTCCAAAAGACCAGCCCATCAGGGCAGCCCTGGGAGAGCAAACTAGCAAGGCAAAGGAGGGCAGGGTCCTCACCAGGGCAGCACCCTGCTGTTTCTGAGCTGGGAAGCAAAGGACATACTTCTTGTTGGCACCCATGGCCAACAGGTTTTGTGGAGGAGGCAAGAGGAGCTGAGGGGCCTGCTCTGCAGGAAAGGAAGAAGCCTGGGATTGGGTAGAGCTGTGGGGAGGACTTCCAGATGCTTCAGATATGGGACCTGGGCTGAACCTCTTCAGTGAGGGCAAGGGGTGCCTGGCATGCAGGAGGCCTTTCCAGGTGGGGAGGGAAAGAGACAAGGTGACTAAGGTCTCGGGACCACACCATGGTGGTGAGGACAGTGTTGAGGCCTCAACAGAAAGCCTGATGGGTTACAGGTGCCCTTCAGGCTGGAAGGCAGTGGTGGGGCAGACAGCTGCCCTGTCTTGAGTTGGGCGCTGAGCCTGAGGCCTTGCTGGACTCCAGAGAGGCTGTGGTCTACACTGCCCCGGTGAGGGGCCTGGCCAGGGTGTGCCCACACCATGCTGTGCCCTGAGGACGCTCTGCCCTCCCCAAAACGGGGTACGCTTATCTGCCTGTGCCGCTATACTACCCCCAGCTTCAGGCCTATGAACTCCACCTGGGGGTGTGGCCATGGCTGTGGGCCAAGCTTCGGACAGGTGTTTCTGCTACCTGGTTGAGGACTTGCTGGGGCTGGCTGAGGCCATCACTGACTTCGTGGTAATCAACTCCACAGCCAGCAGTGAGCTGGGTCCCAGGGGACTGTAAAACCTCTGTATGTTGTTCGTTGTGACTCTTGAACTCACAGGACACACCCCTGCGTTCCTCGGGTCCCACTTCCCAGTCTCCTCTCCCACCCATGAGCCCGAGGACCCATCCTTCTAAGCCCCTAGAACAGATTGAGTAGAGAGCACAGGCTTTCCTACCCTGGGTGCCTCCCTTTGCTCCCACTGTCCTGGTCTGGCGTGTGCACAGGGAAGCCCCGTTCCTCCAGTCCCACCCCTCACTATAGTTACGATTCCAGACCAGGTTCCAGCCTTAAGCGCTAAGACCCTGCAGCCAGTGAGGCCTGAAGGCCTCAAGAAGGGGCTTCATGCCCAGCACACAACTGGTGCTTGTGAAGCATCTTCTTGAATAAGCAACAGTCCCACCTCCAGCCTGCGAGTCCCTTCTGAATCTCCACCCTTAGCAATGATAGGCTCCATTTACTGCAGAAGCGCAAGGATGGCTGCCTGGTGTCTGTCTCAACACCTGCCCCTACCTCCCTCCCCAGCAAGCAAGTTCTCGGGACCCTCCTTAGAGATTTTCAATTTTCAACATGAAAGCACAACCCATTCAAGCTGTCACAGAACTGGTAGACTCCTGCTTTTGGAATTGGTGAAATGATTTGACAGCCATTTCTTTTATGTCATAGTCCTACCCCAGCTGTCCCCCCTTGGAAGTAGGAGGCAGAGGGAAGAGGGAGCCAGTGTCTTCCACCTGTTTGCAGATGCACCCATAGAGGAGGCAGGAGAGATTCCAAGTCCGCTACCTACAGAGCCCTGGTTTCCCAAGTGAGGTTAGGTGCAGAGAAGGCATCAGTCCCTGTGATCTGCTACTTTAGCTGGGGAGGCCTGTAACGTCAAATTACTAGGTTCTCTAGTAATCATTTCCCTGTTAAAATAACACCCATGGGAGATGGAGCTTCCGGTAGGCTGAAGCAGCCCATCTCGGCCTGAATGTTGTTTTGTGAGGAAGATGGTATTTGCATCCTGTGGAAAGCATCTTGGTGTGGAAGCTCTGGCTGCGGGGGTTAGGTGCCTGTTACACCCCCTCTCCTCTGTCGTCCCTCCCGAGCCAGGCAGGCCTTCAGCACCCTCTGCACTGAGACTCTTGACTGAGAAGGGACCCCCTCAGCTACTGGGCCTCCACGATGCTGGTCTTCTGTAACTTACAGGCCTGGCCTCCATGCTGCCCCACCTTCATGTTGGATAGTCTTTATTGATTGCTGGGGACCAACACTAACTTAGGCTGAGATCCACATTCCAGCACACATCCCCAGGGCTCTTTTTCTTCTTTTGAAATAGACGGCTGACTCTGGCCTTTCTTCACTGATGGGCAAGGGCTTCCTGCACTGCTTTGCTTTCTTGTTCATGAAAGTGTCGACCGGTGGATCTCACAGTATGGTCTTTGGACCAATGGCACCACCATCACCTGTGAGCTTGTTAGAACTGCAGATTCTCTGGCTCTACCCAAGACCTGCTGAATCAGAGACTTTGGAGGTATGGCTGTGCTATCCATATTTTAACAAGTCCTCTGGGGGATTCACATGCATCCTTATGTCTGAGAACCGCTGGTGTGGTATACTACCCAGGAGCCCTGAGTAGGACACCTCATTTAGTTTTCCGATCCACACAAGGAGAATCTGTCCAAGCGCACTAGGCTTGTGGCTAGAGTGTCTTCCCAAGGCAGGCAGGCTGCCTACCTCCCACTCGTCCAGTGTGTAACCCATCAGCTGACCCCTGACAGTGCTGAGGCCAGACTGGGAATCCACTGAATGCCTCATGAGCTCTTTTCTTCCAGAAGGTGCAGCAGGAATCAGATGGCTGTAGGCATTGCCATAGCAACTGTACCCCTCCGAAGCTCTCATGGGCTGCAGAAGCAGAGTAAGCAGCGCGTAGTATCTGCCAGTGGATGTAGCATCACCAGCAGATGAGAGGGGCTGTGGAGGGAAGAGGAAGCTCAGGGTGGCCAGGACTTATGGACAAGAATTCATTGGAGCTGTTGCTTCCTCAAGACCCATGATGCATTTGGTAGTCCTCCAGTGGTCTCCGGCACTGCAAAACAGTGCCAGCCTAGCCTGTGGCTGCATAGCAGCCTGGGTCACCCAGGAGTCAGTGATGCTGCAGTCTCTCAAAAGACCGTGTACCTCGGTTAAATTGGGCTGCTAAGTGGTCACAGAGCAATTAAGATGGAAGTGCCCATCTTCCTTCTGTGATGAACACCTGTGTTCCTCGCCAGGGCTGAGGAAAGCGATCCAGTTCCAAATGTCTGATAGGGATCTGGGTCCTAAAGCAGATGCCAATAGTCACAAAGGAGCTCGGGGCTTAGGTAATGGTGGGTATTCTAGCTCTCCTAGAAATCAACCTTAGCAGGAACCGGTATCACCAGCATGTACCTGGTACTTGAATGCTGGCCCCAGAACTGAAGACCTGCAGAGTCAGCAGGGGCTCGGGCAGAGAAAAGGGCCCCATGCCCTTGGCAAGAGGGATCCCTGCTTGCTTGGAGGCCGGAGAGGGCCAGGGTGAGTGGAACCCCATGGGAAGTTTGGGGGGACACAGTGCCAACCAGTGGGAAGATGAGCTGTGATGGAGAAGAGACAGGTGGAGAAGAAAGGATGGAAGGAGTGAACACCTGGCCCTTTTATTTTATCCTGACTGCTCCTTGCCAGGCTTCCCTGGGACTCCATCTGTGTGCGGCCAGGAGTTGATCCCACCGGCTCTGCACAGTCCTCCTCAAAGCCAAGGGCAGGGGTCTGCAGAGGTGGGTGGGCGACGCTGGGGAGCCAGCTGTGGGGATTCTCGCTTCATTACAGTCGCTGCCCTTTATAAATATTTATAGCAGTTCTTCTGCTAAAAATAACATCCTGGAGCCCAGGGAGGAGGAAAAAATAAATGAAAATCACCGGGAATGGGACTTGATCACGTGTGCCCGAGCCGAATGGACCCCCTAAAGCGAGAGGCTGTGAGCAGCGCCCCTGGCGGCGCGCCCCCTGGCGGCCACGGAGTCCGCGGCGCAGGGAGTCCCTCCGCCCTCTCCGAGGAGGCCCAGCCGGGCTGCGGCGCGCGGAGCGGTCTCCGCCCCTCCCTCCCGGGCTGCAGAGCGGCGGCTTAGCTGGGGCCGGCGGAAGCCTAACCAGTGTGAGGCTATTTTTAGCACCACGGCCAGGGTGTGAATGTCTACAGAGCCGAGCAGGGCCTGACGCTTTCTTTGCACGATAGAAGAAACCTGTTGGTTTTTAAAGGGCAAAGGTAAGGAAACTTGTGTCCCCACGTTCGGAAGCACCCCACGTGCTGGCCAGACGCCAGAAAGAGTTCCATCAGGTCACACACACACAAGAGCTTGGTGCTTTTTCTTTTCTCTTTTCAACCTCCAGGTAAATTCCTGATGCGGAGATGAGCCCATGCCCTGAGGGGAGTGATGAAGGTGCTAGTACATGCAGGGCTGTGCAGGGGAGGCCCACCAGCTGTGCCGCGCAGCCCCTCCCCGCTTCCCACCGGTTCTGCCTCCCCTCTCCCTGGCGGGTGGAGTGACGTCTGGCAGCCTGCAAGCCTGGTCCAGGTGTGCGGTGGAAAGATGGAGAGGAATGTGCCTCTGGGGAAGACCTTGCCTTCGCCATGTCGGCGCCAGCTTGCTCCTTGTCCTCTGTGCCTGTGGAAGACACACTCACCGTTAGTCACCGGCACTACCAGGGTTGGGGCAAACGCTGCTAAGTCTGCTGTGACTGGGAGGCCGTGCGGGGAGGGGTTGCTAGGATGCTGCGCACCTTTCCAGCGCTGGGGTAAAGGGTGGTACCTAGGGTCCCCTGCCATCATTCTGAAGGGTCAGGAAATGTTTCCGCGGAAGAACTGGGTTCACAACGCAAGGTTTGGCATGGGGTGGTTTCTTGAGAATTGTGGCCCTGGAGAAGGGCAGGGAGGACTGAGGTGTGCTCATGCAGATAGGGAAGGGGAAGCCTCAGCTCCAGGCCAGCACAGTGCAGACCTAGGCATCCAGGGAACCATGGCGCCAGAGTTTTATGCTTTTAGTGTGACTCTCGACTGTTGGTGTTTCTCATCACCCCCGATGTGGGTCAGAGAGGACAGGATTAGGAGGCAGAAGACCCGCCTCCAATTCTGCTTCTGGCATGGAGCTTCTGGTGTGGGAGTTTGGTTTCCTCCATATGCAATAAGGCGGTGGGGCGCATGGCCCTGCCACGTTCCCTTGCACCCCAGTTCCTTCTGCCCCGGGGAGAGAGGGGCTCTGGCAGCCTCCTGCAGGGCGAGTCAGTTCCTGATTTCCCTCCTCGGCTGCCACGGCCTAGGCTTGCTTGGCAGAGGGCCTTGCCTGAATGTGTACAGTGAGTTCAGGGAGAAGCCTCTTTCCAAGGCCCAGGGGCACTGTGATTTCCAGGGCAGCAACAGAATGTGCGTAGCTCAGGTGCTGCCCACCCCTCAGCTTGCATAATCCTGAATCAGCACAGGCAGAGGCTGGAGGGGCCCCGGCGAGCGGGCAGAGCCCTTCAAGGGCCTGGCTCAGACGGGGAAAGAGGGCTGAGAGAGGGCCAGAGGCTATTCCAGGATGATGCGACTTGGGAGGGCCTGAAAAAACTCATTTTCTGGATTGTGGGGCTAGGGTTCCGGCTTTTTCACCGGAGGAAGATGCCTAATTTTTAAAAATAAGAAGTGGGGGAGGGGGAGGGAAGACAAGATTTTCAAATGGAGAAGTCTGATATCTTGGCCCTGGGACTAGAAAGAGTTAAGGTGTTGCGCTGGAAAATGGGAATGACTAATTCCTAAAGGCAGTGAGCATCTGCCGCTGGGGCAGCCTGCACTTTTCTGCATTGCTTCTTCAGGAAGTGAGAAGGTGCAGCTTGCAGGCACCGCGGGGAGCGCCTTGGTCAGCCTTGTAGTCAGTGTGATCATGTATGAATCAAGTGTCCGTGGCTCAGGGGCTGTGACTGGGTGCAGTGCCGGGTGGCAGAATCCAGGGATGCACTGGCTATGGTGTGGATCCCAGGAAGGAAGTGGCCAGTGGCTTCGGAAAAGAGGCATGGGAGGCAGTGCTCCCCAGGGAGGTGGCCTTGCTCAGCATGCTCTGTTTCAGCTGCCGGTGTTGGGTCTGCCAATGCCGTCCCAACACAGAGGACGCCAGGCCCATACCCAAGGACCAGGCCTGCAGACGTGCTGTGCAAGATGGGACACAGCCTAGAAATAGGGCAAGGCGGGTACATGGCTGGGCTGGGCAGAGGGAAGGTACAGTCGGGCTCTTTGAAGAAAATTCTAATTGCATCTTCACCTGTTAGGATTGCTGTGGCTTGGGAGCTGTGACTGCAGAAAGGGAGGGGAAGGGAAGATGCTGAGGAGGGAGGGCAGGGCCGTGGGGAGGCAGGGACTCTGTACTCACCTGAGCTTCCTCTGTGTCTTGCTCCTCTGCTAACCTGCGGCAGCACGGGCAGAAACAACACACTGAGGTCACGGCCAGGCTCTTCTCATGCCTCAGACTGTCTCTAGGGGCTTCCCTGACCCACCCACCCCACGGGCTTCCTGGCTTCTCCCCTGTTACCTTCATGTTGACTTTTCCCACCCAGGTATGAGAGCAGGGTAGAGTCCTACTTTCTACAGCTGTAGCCCACATGAAGTAGCCATGCAAACAGATGCTTCTCAGGAGAAGGAAAACATTTAAAAAATGGAACCAAAGCTCCTCCAATCCAGGGAGCAGTTCCGTTAGCGGGGCAAAGCCCACGCAGCTCTGGAAGGTCCCCAAGGGAACATGACTATGCCGTGGGTGAGGGCGGTCCCCTCCTGCAGATGGTCGCAGGGCTGTGCGCTTGCTCAGCCGAGGCTCCAGCACTGCCTGCCCCTCCCGAGCCTGCTCCGTTCTTGGAGGCCACTGCTGCCCAGACTCGCACCAGGGCTCTTTATGGATGCAAACTGGATTTATGGCACCCACACTGGGATGGCAGGGCCTGGGAGGGGAGGCTCTGAGGGACACAGGAGCATAACATGAGGCTCTGGAGGGGTGGAGATGTTGTCCTATGAGGGAAGTTGTGTTAGTCTGTGCTTTTGTGTGTCTTGGTTACACTTCTCTGAGGAGGTGCAAAGGAGGAAGGGTACCCCGATGGAGCAGAAGCATTTCCTCAGGATGCACCCAGACAGCCGGGGTGAACAGGGAGAGGCGTGAGGCAGGGGTGAATATGGTGGGGAAGTTCAGCTTGGTCCAGATTCTTCCAAAGTCCCATTTGACTCTTACGGTTTTCCCATCGAGCAGACTGTGCTTGCCTGACAGTGCCGACCAAGTTCTGTTTATATCATGTCAGCATGGCTTCAACCCCAGAGAAGCAAATGCACTCTCTTTACAGTGGACGGTTAGACCTCTGGTGTCCAAGTGACTGCAGTCAGTTCTAGGTATGTAAAATTTCAGGCCTAGCTCGTGGCAGAGAATCAGAAGGCCCACCATGAAAACAGTCTTATAAAAATGCCCATGTAAGAGCTGCATTGTAGTTTCAAGGACATATCCTAGGACCTAAATAATGTGGAGAGCCAAGCATAAAAAACACTACCATCTCTCACCACTGACTCTTAGCACTCTTGGCTTTAGGGATGACACCAGAAAGTCATAGAAATAAAAATTCAGGCATTCCCATAAAAAGATTTCACATAGACAAACAGACATTCTGGTACATGCACTGAAAGACAGACAAGGAGCTCTAAGGGCAAGAGGCACAGAAAGACAGAAGATGGGGACAGGGCAGTGCAGGTGCAAAGACAGCGCTCTGGAGCCTGGAGGGTCCAGGCAAGGGAAACGCGGTCTGACCCCCATGTGAGGCGTGGCCCATACTCAGACCGGAACCAGGATAAGGGCTGGAGTTCATGGCCAGGGCCAGGCCTCAGGGGCTAAGCAGAGTCCTAGGTTTGCTTTGGGGGAGTGAAAGAGACTGAGGAGAGACCTCAGTGGGAAAAAGCCACTGGGGAAGGGAGGGGCAGGGGAAGGGAGGCCAGAGATGCAGCTGTTACGTCTTCAGCCAGGAACATTCCACACCAACGCTGGGATTTGGGTGGCGTGTGTGTGTGTGTGTGTGTGTGTGTGCGCGCGCACGCACGCATGTGTTCGGAGCGTGTGTTTGGAGCATGTGTTTACACCAGTGTAAATTTATCTGTGTATCTCTTCACCTCTTGCCCTCCTGCCTTCTTTCTTGTCTGTGTGGGGAAGTCAGTTGTTTGTATATTTCTATGAAGCATCTCTGGATGTCTGAAACACTACTGCTCTCTAGTGTGACCTTTTATTTATTTATTTTTAGGGACAGGGCTTTGCTCTGTCACGCAGGCTGGAATGAAGTGGCATGGCTCACTGCAGCCTTAAACTCCTGGTCTCTGCCTGCCAAGTAGCCAGGACTACAGGTGTGTACTACCACATCCGGCTAATTACTTCTATGTTTTGTAGAGATGGGGTCTTGCTGTGTTGCCTAGGCTGGTCTTGAACTCCTGGCCTCAAGTCCTTCCAGCCTCAGCCTCCCAAAGTGCTGGGATTACAGGCGTGAGCCACCATGCCCAGTCTGGTCTGACCTTCTGGCGTCCATGCCAAATACGTCATTCTCATCAATTCACTGGTGCTGTTGTCCACTTCCTCCCAGGTGTAGCTCAGACTCACAAGATGATTTCAGAATCTGCAGAATATTCTTCCTCTTCTCTGTTTCTTCCTCAGCAATTTCAGTGTCCTTGCTGACAAGTTCCTTGCCCCCTGAGACTCCAAAGACCTCCCTCTCTTAGCCACA